GAGATCATTCGTGGCCAGTATTTGGAATGGCTGATTTAAGTTCCTAATATCTACTCCTGACTCCGCCACCATTTCCCACAGAATGGATGGTCCCCTTTGGATAAGCACACAAGTCTCCCAAATCCCAGCCCAAAAGGTTTCTCTTCCAAGATTCCGCCTTCAGGGCCAGGTCTTACACTCAACCTAAGCAAAAGGTAAAAGAGCTCTTCTGATCCCTTGGCCGTGCTGGGTGTGGTTGGGAAGGAAGATTGGGAATCAAACTGTAGGGAGGAAAATTTTTCCTCTGCCCTTGTAGGCACTTGTAGCCAAGCTAAGAGCCAAATCAACATGAGACAGATTAACAGGAGGAAAAAAACTGCAAAGTTTAATTACGTGTGCACGGAGTCCCAATAATAAAATTGAGATCTAAAACAATGACTAAGGCAGGCAGCTCTTTTACTTTTTAGGCAAAGAAACAATAAATCTGTGAGGAATTGACAGGACACAGAAGACTTGTGTTTGTGACCTTCAGTTCATTAGGGATTCTAAACAGCATTTGGGCTTGGATAGTAAATTAGTAAAAAGTAACAACATTTGTTAATACAGCCTTCTCCACCCCGAATTCCCTCTCTGTGATAAGGATGTCTCTTTACCCCCTGGTACCAGGAGGGTACCTTTCCCCTGAGAGATTTGTTCCCTGCTTTCTGGAGACAAAGTCAGGGGATCAGAGTGTTTTTCTTATGCTAGCTGTTTTTTAAGTCACTTTAATTCTGTTAAAAAGAAAGACACAAGCCCAACATGGTGTCACTTCTGTTAGGCAAAGTCACCAAACCGGGGTTTAATACCTAATTTAAATGCAGTTTTAACCTCCCCCAGAAATGGAGTCAGGAATTTTCTGGTCAGCACCAATAAGGTAATCAGTGACGTATGTCCTCTCCATTCCCCAAAGGAATTCACCTCAAAAAACCCTCTTGTCCCCAGATGAAGGTCACCTCACCCAAAATAATCCTTATTTTCCTGGTTATGACTTCATTGCCCTGCCTTTAAAAACCTCTCCCTTTCTGTAGACCTTTGGAGCATTTTTCTGTTTGCTACAGGGGGCTTCCCGGTTCAGGAATCACTTAATAAAGCCAATTAGATCTTCACATTTACTTCACTGAGTCTTGTTTTTCTAACATTTGAAAAAAATCAGTATGCCAACATGGCACATTTTGGGGGAGCCTACTTTTGGCCCCCACAAGATAAATGGACTACACTGAGCACCTGCTGTGTGTTAGGTACCACGGAGGCGTTTATATGTGTCATTGTATTTCACCCTCACAGCTGAGGTGCGAGAAAATATGGGTAAACTGAGTCCATTGAGGTCATAGGACTTTCCCAGTGTTACAAAGTTGGTGAATTCCAGGATCAGGATTCAATTCCACATCTGCCTGAGCACAAAACCTATGAATCTCCCTCTGATCTATAAAAATCCAAATTTTTTTAGACAACAGAAGGCTGGTTTCCTGCCTAAATCTCCCCCATTTAAATGGCAGTTTCTTCCAGGCTGTGAGGAAATTCACACTCATCCTCTGTTGAGTTAAACATAATTATTTGAAAAACTAATCCTCTCTCTTTATGTGTGTGTGTTTATTTATTTATACTTAAATACCTATTTATCTTGCGCCCACAAATTCCACCACTCTTACTTTACACTAAAATTATCTAGGATTTATGAATAAAAATGTGCAACATGATATAGTCTACATAATCAGTGATTAATAAAACACAAATGCTTGACAATAGACATTCATTTAAATTGAGACCTGTGCAATTACAAAAAACAGGGTTTTGTGAAATATTTACATGATTCAATCAGGATGGGACAAGATGGGTACAAAGGTGGGTGATACAAAATGTGAGAAAACAAAAGATTGTTTTATTAAATACGTAGAGAAACTGAAAAGATAATACAATGACACATAGATTAATTCTGTGTACCAAAATTATCATTTTTTAATTATATATTTTTCTTCTTTTTCCCTGTCAATTACTTCATAATTAGAAAACAGAAATAGATTCCATATTTCAGGAACAAAATTCTCCTTGCAGAGGAGAGGGTGCATGATGTGAGAGGCAGAGATGTCTCTGCCCAGAGAACAGGCCCCAGTGAGGGGCGGGCAGAGGGCAGGAAATGAGGACTCCAGGCAGTGCCCTGGCACGGCCAGGGGAGGCAGGAAGGAGCCCAGGTAAACCAGTTCCCTCTCTCTGTCCCTCTCCACACCCAGCTCTCCAGGGAAGTCAGTGCCAGGCAGAGCTCACCTCTCCCGCCAGAGTCATGCCAGCGCGGGCCCTGCTGCCCATCCTGCTCCTCTGTGTGCTGCTGCGACAGGCCGAGGGAGCGTTCCGTGGCCAGAGGCGGACACAGAGTAGGTGGTGCGTGAGGGGACAGGATGGGGAGGAGGCAGCAGGGCGGTGTCCGGGTCCCGGGGGCCTGGGACTGGAGCCCCTCGCGCGTCCTGCTCTGACCACAGCACTGAAGACTCGGCTTCTCCCAAACTATGGCCCCAGCCCCTTCCCCCAGGCCTGGGAATTGTGATGGGGAGGGAGGGGGAACCTACACCTCTCTCTTCTCCATTCCCCAAATCCAGAGACAGTTGGGCCACACAGTAATGAAAGGAACAGCGGGGCTGAGAATCACATGGGAAAACAAAACAGCTATTCTTTGATCTATGCACACATGCGACAGATAAACATCCAGGCACGCATGGGAGTGGGTGTAGGATGAAGGGCCACTGGGGAAGCAGATTTGGGGGGCACAAGGCCAAGGTAAGTTATTATCACAGGGGCCAGGATGGTGGCAGTGGAGGGGAAATATGGAAATTGCTGTTTGCTGGGAAGGGGCAGATGTGCTGGAGACAGTGACAGTGAGGGAGGAGAGACAGGGCAGAGGGCCAAGCTCACCTTCCTCTGTGGACCCTCTGATTCTGGAGAGTAGGGGACAGTGTGCAGGGTGCCCTGACTTCGTGGAGCTCTCAGGGTCAGTGTTGATTCTATGGGAGTGTCTTCGCCAAGGGCACGATAATGGGAAGCAGGGTCCCGGCAGCAAGAGTAAGGAGAGGGTCCTGGGGGCCCCGGCATCAAGGGCTAGGTGGGAAGGAGGGGGCAGTAAGAGTTAAGATCCTGCCAATCACAGGCTTGGTGAGGGCAGAAAAGGACCCAAGAGGTTCAGGAGTGGTGGGTGGGACCATGTCCGGGTTCTGAAGGAGGCTATAGCCTAAGAGGGGTCCTCTCTAGGGGCCTGGTTCCTCTGACCCGGCTTCTGGTCTGTTTCAGGAACACAGCTACCCACAGAAATCAAGGTGTGTGAGAAGCCCACCAACATATACATGTGCAGACGCAGATGTGAGTATCACCAAGAGTGTCAAGCAAACAACATCTGCTGTTCCACCTTCTGCGGGAACATTTGCATGAGCCTCCTGTGAGATGGAGAGGGGCCGGGAAGGGGCATCCCGCTCCCCTGACCCTCTGTTCAGGGACGGTGCCCGCCACCAGGCACGGGGACCTCAGATCCCACGCTCAAGGCTGTCTGCAGGAGTGTCACTCGCCCCACTGTCTGAACTACTCGTTCCTGGCAAATAAACGAGAACAGATGCCCCAGGACCTGCCTGGTTTCTCCCAGTGCTGTGATCACAGAGGCCCAGGATGCCCCTGGGTCCAGCTCTCTGGTCTCTCTGCCTGTCACGCTCCCCTGGGCCCCTCCCTTGGCCCACTCACCCTGCCAGGCCCCTGGAGACTTGGCCCCTAGCTGTGCTGCTCCCTGAGCCAGCGCTCCCGTGGGGAGAAACTGCTCATGTGTGGCATCTCCCCCAGCTAAGGAGAACACTTCCCTCCCAACAGAACAGGCGCCAGGTGGAGGCTAGAGCCTGGGCTCGGAGTAGGAGGCCCCCAAGGAGGCCTCTCATCGAACTTGACCCCCCATCCTGGCCTGCCCGTTCGCCTTGTGAGGCTCAGATGACTGCCTCCTTACAGGGAAGAATAGGAATTCCAGGGAGGTTAAGGGACAGGCCCAAGGCCAAAAGAGAGTGCGAGGTCTGGATGCAGCCAGAGGAGCATGTTCCCCCTGGACTCCCTGTTCGCTGGCTTCCTCCCCATGTGGTGAGACCTCGGTGTGGAAGGGAGAGCCTGTGCTAACCTCAGTGAGCCCCACTCCTTCCTCCACCAGTACGGCCCCACCCTTATGAGGGGGCCTGGAGTAGGGTGCCTTCCATTAACTGAGTGGTCCCTGCCTTTCCCAGGTGTGGGGGAGCAGGTGGCTCATGGTGATGCTAAGGATAAATCTGCACAGGACAGCCTGGGGCTTTGTCACGGTCTCCTCGTGAGTCCCTGGAAACTAATCACTGGGGTTCAGAAGCCCTTCCAGTCGGTGCAATCACCAGTCCTCGGAGGTGGGCCTGGGGCCAACCCAGGGAGCGGGTCATGGGGCCAATCGGGACACAGAGTCAAATGTGAAGACCTCAGGCAGGCAGGCACGCTGGGGGCAGGGGTGCTGTACTGCCCTCCAGTCCGGTGCTTCCTGCCAACGCTCAGGAAGGAGACGTCAGCGGAGGAAACCGCCTGTCAGACCAGAGCCGCTGGTGCCCCAGAAGCATCACGGGCTCCTGCTACTGGAGGAGCTTCTCGACCTCTCCTAAGAGTTGCTCTTGGACAGGGGGGCCTTTGGAAGAGATCGTGATCAACCACCAACACGACATCATTGGAGGGGGTGGGTGGTAAGGGCGTGGCGTGCTCTGCAGGAACTCTTACGTGGTGCCTCCTCACATAGCCTCAGTCTCCCAGCATCCTCCCCGGGCTTGGCCTTGCCCCAAACACCCTGGGAGAGAATATTAAGAGAGGCAAGCTACCTGCCTGGGGCCACATAGGACATGTCCTCCCTCGTCAGGTCCAGTGCTCCCTACCCCATGGGTACACCGTGAGTGTCACGCTGACCCATTCCTTGGCCCTGGCATGAACATCATGGACCATGGATTTTATGGCAGCAGGTGCCTTTCTCCAGTTATGTGATAACAGGTGTCCTGCTTTCTCTGGACAGTGCAGCTGCCCCAGGGAACTCAGGGGCTACACCTGGAGAGCTATGGCTGGGGGAGTGCATGCCTGGGTATCAGAGCCTTTCCTGTGTTATTGAAACAACTGTGAACCTCCATATTAGGTAGAGTGGAGGAGTAGGGACTCCTGGAATCTCATGGAGGCAGAGGAAGATGCAAATCCAAATTCTGCCATGATCTGGGTCTCCAAGCTGTCAAGCCCCAGCCTGCAGAGAATTGCAGATCAGGGCTGGTCTGTTTGTGACCAACCACATAGCTCCACAGGTGCCATGACTTTTGCATTATTTGTTCTCTTTTCATGCTCCAGACCCACTCCTCTATGTCAGTGCAGATGGAAGGACTCTAGAAGTATCTTCCCCATCTCATACATCATGATGTTGTTCAACTCCTGCCTCATTTTATCCTTTGGCTTCTCCCAGTGCCCACAGGTGGGTCCATACTGCCTTCCCCAGGAAAGTGGGTCCCACCCCCATCTCTGATCATTCTCTGTGTCGAACCCAAGATGCCTAATTAAGAAGTTATGGGAAGTTATCTGCAATGCACAAGTTGGGTTTAGGTGCTGAGTGCGGTAGGCCAACAAATGCCCATTGGCCCAAATATAACTAGAATGGGCAGGACACCCAAGAGTCAAGGAAGGTTCTACCCAGAGGAAGTTGTTCTGAAGCCTAAAATTCTACCATAAAAGTTGCATTCTCCAAGACTACACCCATCAATTAACATAGTGTCCAGTTTCCTAGCTTGGGAAGAGTTCACTTCCTGCAAATCACTAGTGAGACAGGTTGAGAAGACAAAAGTAAGAATCCACTGAAGGCACCAAACAGCTATGTGCATGAGCTATTCTGGTCACTGTTGTTGGGTGTATGGTGAACATTTTTTTTTCTTTGATTCAGGTTTTCTTTTATTTATGGAAGGTTTTCTTGGGTTGTAGTTTTTAATATTAATTACTCTTGTTTTCTTTTTGAAAACCCCCTATTATTTTTGTTTAGATTTTCTTTGCTGGTCTTCATTAACCTTTTTTTCTCCTAGTGTTTTTACTTTTGCATTTTATTTTTGGTCCATTTTCTTCTTTCATTCTTGTTCTCAACACTTCTTACAGTTCATCAAATTTATTCTGTTTTGAGCATCTTAATTTCTAAGATGACTTTTTTTATCTTCAAGTTTTGGCAAGGATGTGGAGAAAGAGGAACCCTCCTACACTGATGGTGGGAATGCAAATTGGTGCAATCATTGTGGAAAGCAGTATGAAGTTTCCTCAAAAAAACAAAAGATGGAAATACCATTCGACCCAGCAATTCCATTTCTAGGGATTTATCCAAAGAAAACAAAATCCCTGATTTGAAAAGATATATGTACCCCTATGTTTATCACCACATTATTTACAATAGCCAAGATATGGAAGCCAGCTAAGTGTCTATCAATAGATGCATGGATAAAGATGTGGTACATATACACAATGGAACATTATTCAGCCATAAAAAGAAAAAAACCCTGCCATTTGCAACAACATGGATGGACCCAGAGAGTATTATGCTCAGTGAAATAAGCCAGGCAGAGAAAGATAAATATCATATAATTTCACTTATTTGTGGAAAAAAAATAAAATAAAATGAACAAAATAGCAGTAGACATATACACACTGAGAAGTGACTGGTGATTACCAAATAGGGGAGGGGCTGGGATGGGTGAGTGGGGAGAGGGAGGGAATAAAAGGGCACAAAAATTATCACTCATAATATAAGTTGGTCACAGGGATGGTAGTACAGCGTGGAGAATATAGCCAGTTATTCTGTAACATCTTCCTAATGCTGACAGTAACTGCATTAGAGGGAGTGAAGATTTAATAATATGGGTCACTGTTGAACTACTGTGTTGTGTTTTTGAAATCAGTATAAGATTGTATATCAACAATACTTCAATAAAAAATTAATTTTAAAAGTATCTTTTTCTTCCATTTTTTATGTTCTGTCAATCCCTGTTTCATGTCTTCCTGGTTTTTTGTCTACTTATGTGCTGAGTTTATAAATTTAGGAGTCAAAATTTTTTCATGTTAAAATGTTTGTTTACAGATATTTAATTGAAGTTTCAGTGTTGTATTATACTTGTTTTCCTGACTTGGGGTTTTTCTGGTGGGAGAATTTTTCTTTTCAGCAGAAAATTTTTCAATTTTCATTTTCTGTTTTCTTTAAGAAAAGTGTTACATGGAAGTTGTCTGCTCTTTTTCCATTAATTGTGTACCATTTTGTTTTAATAGATCAACAGTAACAGTTTTATGCTCAAATTGGTCTCAGCTTTGGCCACTGAGAGCTCTTTCAGGTTGATTCCTGTTTCTCATTATTTTGATTTTTTAGTATTTCCTTACTGACCCTAAGCAATGTCTCCATCTCATCTTGTTTTTCTTAAGCCCAGTTCTACAATCAGCCATTTCTCTAAGAAGCCTTAGCTCATTTATTGGAGACTGGTATTAAGAAACCAAGATCAGAGGTCTTGGTATGCTTTTTGCTACTGTGGTATCACTGCTTATAGTCCCTTTCAGCAGGTATAAATAGGAAATATATGTGTATAACTAATCCATGTACACATACATGTCCATAATCATTTCTGCATCTGCCTATCTGTATATGTATTATTATTCAATGTGAGCTCATATTGATGTCTCTGATTATAACCCAGTACCCCTGGGGGTTATTCCAGCTTTCTCCCTCTGCTTATAAGTAACTTTTTTTCTCTGACAGAAACATTGCTCTTATCACCTGCCAGCTGTTGTTTGTTCAATCTTGTATACATGTAAAGTAGTTTTACAATTGTTTACCTACACCCTGTGAGAAACAAACTTACCAGAGACCAGCTTGCCAGTCACCCACTTTATAATGTCATATGAGAAATAAACTTCTATTCTGTGAAGCCCATGATTAGACCATCAGTTCTAAGGTAATCAGGTGCGGAAGCAGTAGTTGGAAGTTTCCATATACTGTAGGATCAGAATAATACTGGGGTTGTAATACAGGCAATCAAGCCTAGTGGAATGAAGTAGAGAAAACCCAAAGACCATTGTTGGTAATTGAGTTTATTTGTGAAGGATTTTCTCCTGCCCAGGCCTCAGTGAGAATAGACTAGTGTCTCGGTGGGAGGTTAGGGTTTTAGCCATTCTTGCAAAGATTTTCTGTAAGAGAAAAAGGTTATATGCTTCAAGGCTAGGGAATTCTGAGAAATAAGCATTCATTCTCAAGCTTAATATTACCCATCCCTGCCAGACTATGGGACAGGAATACTTTGTATCACAACGGGAATTGTCCACTTCTGATTAGGTGGGGGTATTCATTCACTGAACAAAGAAAGGTACAAATCTGCTGCTTGACTGAGCCAAAGGGGTTGGTGCAATGGTCTGACTGTGGTTAGCAATCTGGACAAAAATTAGGAAAAGAGGCAAACTGTTGAATGATACAATGAAGACACACAAGCGTTGATTATATACTGAAAAGCAGCAAGCGCCCCAAGCTGGTGTCTTGGTTTATTTGTCACTGAATTGCTTTCCAGGTTTAGAAGACAGTGTCTTCTGCTTTTTGTGCCTAGGATTTGGGATAACTCATTCGTCCGTTTCTGAATAATAGCATCTGGGAAGAGGGGGTGAATCAGTAAAGACACACGTGCAAGCACACATCCACACATCCACCAACTCACTTAATTTTTCCAGCAGATGTTTCCACAATAGGTCCAGCAGCATGTAGAGTTTATGCTCACACATTTAAAGGTTCTAGAGCACTTGTTGGTACAGTCACGGGCTGTTGGATTTCCCCAGCACTCCTCAATTAATGTGTCATCGTCTGAAATTGAGATGAGATGGTAAGACGCTGACGGACCATGTAGCCAAGTGTGGGAAGAGAAGCCCTTCCTAAGCCCAGCAGACCCTGTAGAACCTGAGCTCCAAGTCCCGACAAAGTATCCATCTGCCTTACAAGCAAGTCCCCTTCTTGAGCCTCCTCACTGCATCTTTCCTGACCTCCTTGCTTTCTCTGCTCCCAGAGGTCGTACCAGTGCTGCAGAGCCCTGGGCCCTCTCGGACATCCTGGAGACGGAACGCAGCTTACTCCCAGCGGTCATGTGCCCTCCTACGCAATCTACATTTATATAACAGGAGAGCTCAGGGCTGAGATACAGTTAGCACACCTATCTCACAGTGTGGGATGCTAGACCAGGGCTAGTAAGGAAAAGCTTCTCTCCTCTTTTCTTCCACCTCTGTTGACCCTGCCTTTCATAACTCAGCCTCCCTCCAAATGCTTCTCTCTCTTACCCATTTTTCTTGATCCCCCTTTATTGATTCCATTTGCTTATCACATGTCCCCCAACTTTGCTCCACTAGGGATCCAACTCATGTTTGTTTTTTTTCTATCATTTCACATTGTGAAAGATCCTGCTACTAAAACTAAGGTATATTTTAAGAAATACCCATTTGTCACTCCTCAAAATACCCACAGCTAGGACACAGAGCTTCTAGAAGTATGGGAAGATCCAGTGCCTCTGTATTAGTGCTTCCTCCCTCAAAGAGAGCCTGACGTGGGAAAATACATCGTATCCTTATAACTTAACGGAATGAATATAAAAGTTGATAGATATTCATTGCCACTTTCAAGGTTGGAAGAGGAAACACTGAAGGACTTAAACTTGGGAATGTCTTGAATCTCTGTGCATAAAAAGGTCTCTGAGTCTCCAAAAGGTAATCCAAGGAAGGTGGGTCCTGAGTCAGATGTGCCAGACACAATGTCCCACCACTTGTCCAGGAACTAGCACAGCACATACACGCTCACTTTGATCCCCAACCCAGCCTCAGGACCTACCAGCTTTGTCCTTCATGCCGCCCAGCACAGACATTAGCATACAGAGGAATGTCATGAGTAGAGATGTCCAGAGCTTCATGATGTTGACCGTATGTGTCTGACTATTATGTTTGTCAGGATTGTTTTTCCTTCCCAGTCGCTGCTAGAGATTGAGAGTTATCAACAGAGTTGTGAAGCAAGAGACAATGCTTATAGAATTTCTTTACACTTCTGTCTTCTAGTTTTTCTTCCTTGCCCTCCATTCACCCAACAACAGGCACACGCCTAAGCTGAACCTTAGCTTTGCTGAAAAGTATCTCTCCATCTCACACTTCATGCCTTCCTTTTGCAGAAAAGCAAAATTATTTTAAAAATGTGTTGTCTTCCCTTGATTAAAAGATAGTTCAAATTCAGTTTACAAAATTCTTAAATAAAAAAGTACAAAGAAGACAATGAAATATTCCTGGCAATCCCACTATTTTGGCATATGTTATTCTGTTTATGTGTGCATGTATGTGACTGTGAATTGCTTTTATAAAGCTGAGATCATATCAGCCTTGCTGCCATATATCTTGACTTTTTACTTAAAAATTTGTGACATGATATTAAAATGAGAGTTTTCACCAAGACCCCTGGATAGTACCTAGTATGAGCTTGTGAGCTGGATCAACTTGTAGGACTTAAAAAGATAGAAAGGGATGGCCAAAAAGTAGCTAAGGGACTCTTAAAAAGCCTTACTTGCTTTAGAAGTAGAAAATGGTCAGAATTTTTACATATTTATTTGAGGATTTTTGAGCAGATTTTCTTTAAAGAATGGTATACACTCTTAATTCCAAGTCACTAGAAAGGCTTTAAGGATGCCTCCCACAGAGCTTTATGTGTGCCCCAGGGGTCTGTGGAGACATGGTAGGTAAGTGTCTGAGTTAAACCTGAGACTGCAAAAGGGCAGGTGGCTGGCTGACATGACCTATGTCCCCAAGGAAGAGACTGCAGCCTGCACTTTGATAGAATCTGATAGGGCAAAGAATGCAAGAAAGAGCCAGTGTGGGTCTGTGCCAGATTCATCCCAGACGGGCCACCTGGGAAGACCATGGGACCTCAGCAGAAGGAAACAGATAGTGAGTGACCAGATGCCGAGGGTCTGGGAACGGAGTCGCAATGGACCAACGGGAAGGGAGATGGATTTAAGAGAACCACAACTGAGAAATTTCCATCAGTTGGGGGTTGGGGGATGGAAACCCAAAGAATCCATGAAACTACCCACAACAGAGCCAATGTTAAGCAATGCTAAGCCCTGAAAGCACAAAAATGCACTACTACCTGCCAAAAATAGGTGTCCTGACCCCTTTATCTCTTCCCTCCTCCACCACCNATAATACTGGGGTTGTAATACAGGCAATCAAGCCTAGTGGAATGAAGTAGAGAAAACCCAAAGACCATTGTTGGTAATTGAGTTTATTTGTGAAGGATTTTCTCCTGCCCAGGCCTCAGTGAGAATAGACTAGTGTCTCGGTGGGAGGTTAGGGTTTTAGCCATTCTTGCAAAGATTTTCTGTAAGAGAAAAAGGTTATATGCTTCAAGGCTAGGGAATTCTGAGAAATAAGCATTCATTCTCAAGCTTAATATTACCCATCCCTGCCAGACTATGGGACAGGAATACTTTGTATCACAACGGGAATTGTCCACTTCTGATTAGGTGGGGGTATTCATTCACTGAACAAAGAAAGGTACAAATCTGCTGCTTGACTGAGCCAAAGGGGTTGGTGCAATGGTCTGACTGTGGTTAGCAATCTGGACAAAAATTAGGAAAAGAGGCAAACTGTTGAATGATACAATGAAGACACACAAGCGTTGATTATATACTGAAAAGCAGCAAGCGCCCCAAGCTGGTGTCTTGGTTTATTTGTCACTGAATTGCTTTCCAGGTTTAGAAGACAGTGTCTTCTGCTTTTTGTGCCTAGGATTTGGGATAACTCATTCGTCCGTTTCTGAATAATAGCATCTGGGAAGAGGGGGTGAATCAGTAAAGACACACGTGCAAGCACACATCCACACATCCACCAACTCACTTAATTTTTCCAGCAGATGTTTCCACAATAGGTCCAGCAGCATGTAGAGTTTATGCTCACACATTTAAAGGTTCTAGAGCACTTGTTGGTACAGTCACGGGCTGTTGGATTTCCCCAGCACTCCTCAATTAATGTGTCATCGTCTGAAATTGAGATGAGATGGTAAGACGCTGACGGACCATGTAGCCAAGTGTGGGAAGAGAAGCCCTTCCTAAGCCCAGCAGACCCTGTAGAACCTGAGCTCCAAGTCCCGACAAAGTATCCATCTGCCTTACAAGCAAGTCCCCTTCTTGAGCCTCCTCACTGCATCTTTCCTGACCTCCTTGCTTTCTCTGCTCCCAGAGGTCGTACCAGTGCTGCAGAGCCCTGGGCCCTCTCGGACATCCTGGAGACGGAACGCAGCTTACTCCCAGCGGTCATGTGCCCTCCTACGCAATCTACATTTATATAACAGGAGAGCTCAGGGCTGAGATACAGTTAGCACACCTATCTCACAGTGTGGGATGCTAGACCAGGGCTAGTAAGGAAAAGCTTCTCTCCTCTTTTCTTCCACCTCTGTTGACCCTGCCTTTCATAACTCAGCCTCCCTCCAAATGCTTCTCTCTCTTACCCATTTTTCTTGATCCCCCTTTATTGATTCCATTTGCTTATCACATGTCCCCCAACTTTGCTCCACTAGGGATCCAACTCATGTTTGTTTTTTTTCTATCATTTCACATTGTGAAAGATCCTGCTACTAAAACTAAGGTATATTTTAAGAAATACCCATTTGTCACTCCTCAAAATACCCACAGCTAGGACACAGAGCTTCTAGAAGTATGGGAAGATCCAGTGCCTCTGTATTAGTGCTTCCTCCCTCAAAGAGAGCCTGACGTGGGAAAATACATCGTATCCTTATAACTTAACGGAATGAATATAAAAGTTGATAGATATTCATTGCCACTTTCAAGGTTGGAAGAGGAAACACTGAAGGACTTAAACTTGGGAATGTCTTGAATCTCTGTGCATAAAAAGGTCTCTGAGTCTCCAAAAGGTAATCCAAGGAAGGTGGGTCCTGAGTCAGATGTGCCAGACACAATGTCCCACCACTTGTCCAGGAACTAGCACAGCACATACACGCTCACTTTGATCCCCAACCCAGCCTCAGGACCTACCAGCTTTGTCCTTCATGCCGCCCAGCACAGACATTAGCATACAGAGGAATGTCATGAGTAGAGATGTCCAGAGCTTCATGATGTTGACCGTATGTGTCTGACTATTATGTTTGTCAGGATTGTTTTTCCTTCCCAGTCGCTGCTAGAGATTGAGAGTTATCAACAGAGTTGTGAAGCAAGAGACAGTGCTTATAGAATTTCTTTACACTTCTGTCTTCTAGTTTTTCTTCCTTGCCCTCCATTCACCCAACAACAGGCACACGCCTAAGCTGAACCTTAGCTTTGCTGAAAAGTATCTCTCCATCTCACACTTCATGCCTTCCTTTTGCAGAAAAGCAAAATTATTTTAAAAATGTGTTGTCTTCCCTTGATTAAAAGATAGTTCAAATTCAGTTTACAAAATTCTTAAATAAAAAAGTACAAAGAAGACAATGAAATATTCCTGGCAATCCCACTATTTTGGCATATGTTATTCTGTTTATGTGTGCATGTATGTGACTGGGAATTGCTTTTATAAAGTTGAGATCATATCAGCCTTGCTGCCATATATCTTGACTTTTTACTTAAAAATTTGTGACATGATATTAAAATGAGAGTTTTCACCAAGACCCCTGGATAGTACCTAGTATGAGCTTGTGAGCTGGATCAACTTGTAGGACTTAAAAAGATAGAAAGGGATGGCCAAAAAGTAGCTAAGGGACTCTTAAAAAGCCTTACTTGCTTTAGAAGTAGAAAATGGTCAGAATTTTTACATATTTATTTGAGGATTTTTGAGCAGATTTTCTTTAAAGAATGGTATACACTCTTAATTCCAAGTCACTAGAAAGGCTTTAAGGATGCCTCCCACAGAGCTTTATGTGTGCCCCAGGGGTCTGTGGAGACATGGTAGGTAAGTGTCTGAGTTAAACCTGAGACTGCAAATGGGCAGGTGGCTGGCTGACATGACCTATGTCCCCAAGGAAGAGACTGCAGCCTGCACTTTGATAGAATCTGATAGGGCAAAGAATGCAAGAAAGAGCCAGTGTGGGTCTGTGCCAGATTCATCCCAGACGGGCCACCTGGGAAGACCATGGGACCTCAGCAGAAGGAAACAGATAGTGAGTGACCAGATGCCGAGGGTCTGGGAACGGAGTCGCAATGGACCAACGGGAAGGGAGATGGATTTAAGAGAACCACAACTGAGAAATTTCCATCAGTTGGGGGTGGGGGGATGGAAACCCAAAGAATCCATGAAACTACCCACAACAGAGCCAATGTTAAGCAATGCTAAGCCCTGAAAGCACAAAAATGCACTACTACCTGCCAAAAATAGGTGTCCTGACCCCTTTATCTCTTCCCTCCTCCACCACCAAAATGGCACTCAGCCATCGAGAAAGGAAACTGACCCCATCTCTTCTCTACTTGCAGGCAACCCTACTTTCAATTCAAGCTTAATGTTTGGACTACTGCATAGACTTAGACTTTTTTTACATATTCTAAATTGAGGCAGTTCTGGAAAAGTCAAGTCCCATACCCAGTCTCTCAGACAGAGGCAAGGAAGCAGCTTTTCTGCATACATTTAAATGAGACAAAGGACAAGGCATTCAACATATTACAGTAACACTCCCCGTGAGTATTTTCCCAGCATACTATTTACACATATCATTAATAGTTTCCCATTGATCATGAGACATCTGAAAATTTACAACTTATCTTCCTTGGGGGAAAAAAGTCATTGGGAACCTTCTTGCAACTGAAATTTGGTGAAACCCATTATTAGCTTCAGAGCACAAATTTGTAGATCTAGACGTCCTAGGTAAAGGATACTGCCTATTTCACACCCTAGATAGTCATTGCCAGTTTTTTTCTCCATTAAGATTGGCTTATTGTACCAACAAGATACATCTTGTCTTACCCTAAGAAGGAAATTCTCTCCCATTTCTTACTACACTGTAGACGGTATAGTAGCGGGCAGAGAACCAAACATGAGCACTGGAGTCAGAGACCTGGGCTTGAACCTCAGCTCCAAACCATTTAGCTTAATATATGTGAATGGCCAACCACCTCACTGCTCAGAGCCTCAGTTTCCCTGTCTGTGATATGGGGTGATATCAGTACCCACATTGCAAATATTGAATACATGAAGCACTGAGTATAGGGCCTGGGCACACAGAAAGGGCAAAGTAAATGTTGGCCATTATTTAAGTTCAGACTCTCTTCTCCAGAGGGGTGAAATTATTACCATTTAATTTCATTGACTTTGCTGCAGCTTTTTTTTTTCTAACTTTCTGACCTATTTGGAATGAATTATGATGAATGGGTGAGGAACCCATCTTTCATTCATCTGTCCTGAATTTATTCACCCCACAAATACTTACGTGAAGTGACTACCAGAAGCCAGGCACTATCCTAGGCACTGAGGGAACAGCACGGAGGAAAGCCCTCCCCTCATAAAGCTGACATCCTAGTACAGGAGACAGTCAATAAACAAGATACATAATACTGTGGCGAGCATTTAGTGCTGTATATAATTATCAAATCACTAATGTACATCTGAAACTAATATAGTACTGTATAGCAACTACATACCAAAAAAATTCTTTTTTTAATTTTGAAAAAGAAATATACAATAATAGATGAAGATCCACGTGAAGGAGAGAAAAATAAGAGGGGGGTCTAGGGCCGGGAACACAGAATATGCGGAGTTAAGCGCAGGCTGTTATTTTAGGCAGCTCACTGGTAGTGTTAGGAAAAGGCTAAGGATGGATCAAAAAGATTCTCAGTCCTTTCCCCACCCCCTCTCACTCCTAACCTGGTGCTTCCCTCCCCAGAAGCCAAACAGAAGGGACAATAAAAGAAACAACGACAAAGAAGATGCCTGGACGCTATGAATTACACGGCCCCAGTGGAGTCGTTGTCTCTTTCCCTGCAAGTGACCAATTTTTCCTCAGTCTTTATTTTTGCTTCAACATTTTCAATCAGAAGCAAAGCTACATGAGTTGACTGAAATCCCTTCAAATGCTCAAAAGCAGGCACAGTATCTAGAGACAAACTTCTTAGAAGGACTACATGGCATATGTGAAAAACTGTAAAAGAGGAAAATAAAATTTGAGGCACATGGGTCATTAGATGGACTGCCTTTAACTTTTTTCAACTATTACTTAGAGATAACTTCCAAGATACAAGAGTGAGAATAGTACAAAGAGCATCTGTATACCGTTTGCTCAGATTCATCTGTTTTAAGAGTTTACTGCTGATTACCTGCTTTCACTCTTCTTTTTCTCTCATTCGCTGAACCATTTGAGAGTAAGTACATATGCCATTAGGTCTAATACTTCAGTGAATATTAACAATAGAGTTAACTTAATGAAATTTAAAACATTGATACAATACATTTTTATCTAACCTACCTCAGTATTCCATTTTATAAATTCACCTAATAATGACCCCTTTGTCTTTCATGATGTTAAAAGTTTTGAAGAATATAGCCAACCTTTTCTTTTAACTGAACATTCCTCATTTAGGGTCTATCTGAAATTTTTCTCATGATTGGAGTCAGGTCACAGCTTCTCAGTGGGAGTACTACGTAAGCAACACATACTGTCCATCTCAGACTATCACATAGGACGGGACACAGCAGCCATCCATGACATCATTCTCTGCCTCAGATTCTCCATTTAAACAAAAGGACAATAATTTTTTCCATTAAGGGATAATGTTGGTCTGGTTTGGGGGCATGATTCAGACAGGAAGTCAGCCAACAAAGCCACCAGGGGAAGTGTCTGCAGGCTCACACGTCCAGCCCCAGGACTCTGGCTTCACCTACCTCTGAAGGTGCTCAGGGTAGGAGTGCTGGGAATTACTTGGCTGATGGCTCTTGCTGGTCTCCGGGAACCACAGTCCTTGCACGGAGGCAGATGATGAGCAGAACAGATTGCAAAGACTCTGAATGCAATCATGGCTATGGTTGTGCCAGATCTCCGAGTTCTACCCCAAGCCATAAATTGGGTACATTCGGAACATTGTCTGCTGTCACCGAATTCCTATTTAAGGAGTACTTTCTTTTTTCTTTTTTCTGCAGGTAATAAAGGTTGAACCAGAACACTGTGGAATTGCAGGAGCCCCTCCCCACACCTCCCCAACCTCCACCTCCACCCGGTTTCCTTCATCACACACATTTCCTGGAAGTCTGTGTGGTTGGGAGTGTGATGGGGGTGGGGAGCTAATCTGTATATCTATTTTTCTCTAAAATTTGTGTGATGAGTTTTGTAAAGTTCCATCCATCTC